TATTTTGGGGAAAAAAGTGTATTCAAAATATATTTATGAAAATATTTTTGACTTTTTTTTTTTTTTTGGAAATGTATTTTAAAAATATAAATGTATTTTTTAAACGCATAAAATTCATATAGTGCTAGTTTGTCTCGTTTGGTTCTGTAGCCTCATTATATATTGAGTTTGCCGCAGGTTGACCGTCTCCCTCACCTTCATGTCCTTCAGACGCAGTTGTGCTGCTTCAAGCAGTTTTTCTTCAGCCTTTGTGAACGCTGCTCGTTTAAAAGGCCAGACGTGTGTTTTATCCTTTAGAGGACAGATGAAAAGACGAAAGCAATGATAAACGTGAATACTGTTTCCTCTCCTGCCCTCGGAAACACACACACACTCACACACACACGCATTATTGTCAGCAATATTGATATCGAGCAAGTGTAGTATATGAGATGCTGACAGGGTTCAGTAAGTTCTTGAATTATTCATCAGTGTGTTTTTGCATTTGGTTTCTCTCTTCTTCTCTCTAGCAGGAAATTTGGTTTTCAAAACCAAAAATATCAGACCTGGAGTGTGTTTGTGTGTAGTTTATATAGCTGTGAGATGATGTGCATGAATGTGAACGCTGTCGTAATGGATCTGGAGTGTGTTTTGGGTTGTGAAGTGCAAATGTGACTCTGGAGCACAAAAGCAGTCTTAAGTCGCTGGGGTAAGATTCCAGATTTTCAAATAGTTGTATCTCGGCCAAATATTGTCAGATCCTAACAAACCATACATCAATGGAAAGCTTATTAATTCAGCTTTCAGATGATGCATAAATCTCAATTTCGAAAAATTTAACCTTATGACTGGTTTTGTGCTCCAGGGTCACAAATGATGACAAAACTTAGATTTTGGGGTGAAATTATCCACCTTACATCTTCACTAGAGGGAGCTGTTGAATTCATTATATAACACTGGCACGTTTAACATCAATATTAGGCTCTTTTTACCCATATAAACTCAACCCCATCTCAGTCTTGATGTGTAAATCCAGCACGGTTCAGACTCCATCTGTGTACTCGCTCTAATGCTGCCGTGAGATTGATGCACAGTGTTTTTCATTGCTTCTGACAAGAGTGTTTGATGAAGACTCGTCTAACACAATGACACACACCTATAATTAAGTCTGTTACACGGAGTCTGTGCCAGGAGAGCGATATAATCTGCTTAAGAGCCTCAGCCAGAGAAACGGCAGAGAAAGTTCTGGATCTCGGCCAGCGTGAGGAAAACATTGAGCAAACACGAATAAACCATCAGAGGCTGGGTGTTAAAGGGACAGTGCGCCTAAAAATTATCAGTCTGTCTGTCATCGTTTATCCACATTCATGTCGTTTCAAACCTGTATGACTGATTTTCTTCAGTGGAACACAAAAGCAGATGTTTTGCAAAATGTTCATGCTGCTTTGTTTTATACAATGAAAGTGAATGGTGACCAAGGCATGGCCAAAAGTCCAAAAAAGGACCAAAAGCATCAAAACGTACATTAACATACTTGTTATATATAACTTGCTATATTATGTAAGATTTATATATGTATTTATTTTTATATAGGCCTACTGTAGTTATAGCCTAATTTAAAAACTCTTATAAATTCCATTTCGGTTTGAAATTTGGATTATTAATTGTCTAATCTGGTGCTTTGCATCTTTTTGTAGTTTGTTTGAATGTGTGGAAGTGTGAATCTGACTTTAAAAACAGCAAATAATGAATAATGACCTTTATGATTCTTTTTAATGGTGCTTTTATGGTATTTTATGGCATTTTTGGGAGTATAATATTTATTTATTTAAAATATATAAATGTAATATTTATTAATTATACTTTTTTTGTATATAATGCAACATATTATTCAATAAGTTATTTACATACATGTATATTTATTTTATGTATTTATATGTAAATACATATGCATTTAAATTAGTGCTGTCAAACGATTAATCACAATTAATTGTATTCAAAAATAAAAGTTTTTGTTTACATAATAATTGTGTGTGTACTTTGTACATTTATTATGTATATATAAATACACACACATGCATGTATATATTTAAGAAAAGTATGTTATGTTTATATATTAAATATATTTATATGATATAATTTATATGAATATAAATATACATGTAAATATTTTCAACATATATGCTGTATGTGTGTGTCTTTATATATACATAATAAATATACACAGTAAACACATATATTATGTAAACAAAAACCTTTATTTTGGATGCAATTAATCGCGATTAATTGTTTGACAGCGCTAATTTAAACATTATTTTAATTTTAAAAAGTCTTAAGTATCTAAAGGGGTCATATGATGCGATTTCAAGCTTTCCTTTGTCTTTGGAGTGTTACAAGCTGTTTGTGCATATATAAGATCCGTAAAGAAGTCAGAAGGTTTTAATGTCCGCTGAAGAAAGCGATATCTTTGTCGTAACATTAATATTCTTTCATCTGTTAAGGGTGATTTTGCTGCTCAGTGCATTTGTTCGCTGCGTTAAGCTGTTTTTGAAAATAAAAATAACTTCCGTTTATAGCGTTTATAACTTTCCAATGTAAAAGTCTTTACTGCTGACTCACTCCTGTCGCCATCTAATGGCGGAACAATGTAACTGAAATCACCATCACTAACGCACCATTTCTCAATACTAAACACTATTGTTAAATACTATTATTTATATAAAATATTATTTATTGGATAATAATATGTAATAAACACCAAAAAAAATCAACAGCCATCATAAAAGTTGCTAGGCAATTTAGTCAAAAGTACAAAGGCAGCGCTCTGATATACAGCATTGAATTTACATAAACATGAGATTTTGCCAAAATTATCTTCTCTAGAACAAATAATAGATTAATGAGACCAAAGACAACCGTTAGATTTACCCATAACGGATTATATCTCATGTGTAACCACTACAGAGACATCAGAGCCAGCGGTAAATTCCAGAAGATCTGGCCGAGGTGAGGCGCTCTCTCTGCGGGTTCATGAGACGATCTGGAGATCACATGTCCGAAAACGTCGACACACATTTTCAAATAGACTTTATCTTTATTAATAAACTGTATATTTGAACTATAAACAAGTACGTTCTCGCCTGAAAAACTACATTCTGTGACACAAAAACAGTACTATTTACATTTACATTTAGTCATTTAGCAGACGCTTTTATCCAAAGCGACTTACAAATGAGGACAATAAAAGCAGTCAAAACTAACAAAAGAGCAACAACAATATATAAGTGCAAATGAAAAGTTTGAGTTAGCCTAACGCAGTACACGTAGCAAGGTGTGTATGTATATATATATATATATATATATATACACACACACACACACATATATACATATACATATACATATATATATATATATATATATTATACACACACACACAAAGAAAAACAAGTAGAT